GGCTCTTAGGGTTTACTTCCCCTCCTCCTCCCCTTCCTTCCCCCCCTCCTCCTCCTCCCCTTCCATCCCCCCTCCCCCTCCTCCCCTTCCTTCCCCCCTCCACCCCTTCCGAGTACCTGGCTCAGCAGAGGCACCAGGGAGTGCGGCTCCGTGGCCTGGGTTGCCTCCTCAAGCACTACCACCGGGAAGCTACAAGCCTAATTAGGAGCAGGGCCGGGGGAGGGAGGGCAGCGGGAGGTGGATGTAGGAAATGGGAGAGGAGGTAGCGAGGAGGGTAGAGGGGAGGATGGGGGGAGGGTGGGGGGGTAAGGCGAACCACTGGCGAACAGAGCAGATACCAAAGACGGATAGTCCAAGAGAAGAGAGGGAAGGGGTAAGGGAGGAAGGGAAAGGGGGAAGGAAGGGTTGGAGGAAGGGAGGGAGGGAGGGGTTAAACCCCGCCCACACCCCTCCCTTACCGCATGACCCACTCCACTCGCTTCTGGATCGACACACGTCCGCAGCAACTCGCAACTCCCCAGGCAGATGCGCCCTCACGTCATCATTTATTGGCGGACCCATCAGGGCCCCTGGGTGGTAGACCTCGGAGGGGAGCCGCTCACACAGCCTTTGCCCCAAGTCACAGAAAGAAACCATGAAACCCTAAACCCCCGGTTTCCAAGGCCCCGGGTTAGAGGTTCTTCCCCCCTTTTCCCAAAACCCCCATAACCTGCATTCTGTGGTTTTCCCGGGACACCCAAATACAGGTTGGCCGGCCCCCCACCTTAGGCCCCCCCCAAAGATGGTCCCGGAGGCGGCTGACTTCTTCCAACTTCAAGTTGCTTGAGGGGGGAAACAAGCCCGGGGTGAGGGGGGAGTGCAACCCATTCAACCCGTACATACATATACATACTACCATACAAGCATACATACATACAACCATACAACCATACATACGTACAACCATACAACCATGCATACATTCATGCAGCAGGCGGCTGACAGAGGTTAAGGCCTGACTTCTGCTCCCGGCCGACCCGGGTTCAAATCCGCCTGCTGGCTCCTCGGGTGTTTGAGGGGTATTGAAATGGGAGGTGGCCCCCCATCTTATGGACGGTATTGGACGTGATATTATCAACTTGCGAGCTGACCAGGAACTAAGTTGAGGCGCCGTTGATCCGCTAGATTTGGTTGGATGCTGGTGGTGAGTTGCTGAATCCAACGAATACATTCAGAAGTCGGATGGGGTGACGGATTAGGGTGCCCCTCTAGCAGGGGAGAGCAGGGACTGCCCCGGGAAAGGGGGCCGCTGGCGAAGTTAACCACCCTGTAACAACATACATACATACATACGCGCAACCCCGGCTGGTCCCTGCCTGGGAGATGTAGTTCCAGGCCTCCGAGCCCCGCAGCCCCTGGGCCTGGCGCCGCAGCCGGGCGGCCCTCTGGCCCGCAGAGGTGCCCGCGATACGGGCCTGGGGGTGTGAGTGGGGGGTTGGGGGGTTGGGGGGCCCGCGTGTTTATGTTGGTGGAAGGTTTGAGTTATGCTGGCAGGAGGGGAGGCAAGAGGGTGAAGGGGCGCTTGGGAGGGGACATGTGTGCTACGAGACATGTTGTTTGGAGGATACATACGGGCGGTCGTTGGAATGGCGTCATCCAAAGGTCCGCACCCAACGGCTACCAACTAACCACCTAACCACTAGCTCAGCCCAGAGGGGTGCAGTTACGGAAATCGCCAACACGTCCTCGCACGAGCCGGAAGCTATTCTTCTCCTACCCGCACCTCATGTTGCTTTTGCTCCTTTCTTTTCCCATATTCCTCTTTACCCTTGCTAGCCAGCGGTTGCATGCGGAGAAGTGAATTGCATGCACATGTATGTATATATGTATGTATGTATGTATGTATGTATGCGTGTTTTCCCTGTTTTCCGTACCCTCCTTAACCCCAAAACCCACCCCACCTTCCGCCGAACTGATACCCCCAGCTCACGCGAATACACACACATACAGAGACATACGGACTTACCTCCAGGCTAACGCCCCGTAGCTCTGGAGCCACTTTAACTGGCTGGCCCACACGTACGACATCCAGTGAAGGGTCCAGAGCCCTTAGCCCCGAAACCAGGTTATCCACAGCTACATTGGAGGCGGCGGTGGCCAGCAGCGGACCTGACCCCGGGGGTAGGGCGGTGAGGGCGGCGCGGATGAAGTGAAGCAGAGTGGCGGTTTTGCCGGTACCTGGGGGCCTGAGGAGGGAGGGGAGGAGGGAGGGGAGGAGGGGGGGGAGTTGAGATATGCGCCGGAGGGAAGGCGGGCACGATGATGACCAGAGGGCGGTGAGGAGCGTGGGCATGTGAGTCAAGAAGGCAACAAGTTGGGAGGCATCGGCTGAGGAGAGATTTCCCGGGGCCCCACTTTCACCCCCGACTTAGTCGTCATCTCTTCGCTGTTCTTCCCTGTTCTCTCCCCCCCCCACACACACAACACACACAACACACAACACATGCTCATTACCCTTGCCACAAGGTCAAGCTGCGGCCCAGCGCCGTTTCAATCGCGCGAGCCTGGCTGGGGTTGAGACCCGCAGCAGCCGCGCCGCGCAGCTGCCGCCGCCGCTGCTGTTGCCGCTGCAGACCGGCCCTGATGCCGCCGCTGTCGCCGTCGTCGTGAGGCGTGTTGGCGACGGCACCAGACGGAGAAGGCAGCGATGTCGGCTCTGCCGCCGCCGCCGCCGCCGCTGCTGCTGCCACGACCCGCCGCGCCGCCGTCAGCCGCTCACGACCAGTCTTGCCACGGAGCCACGGCGGCGGCGTCGCCGCCATTTGCTCCAGGGTTGTTCCCGGCGGTACGGCACCCGCGAGGGCTCGCAAAATAGCCAGCGACCCGCTGCCGCCGCCGCCGCTGCCGTCATCACTGTCGCTGCCGCTGCTGCCTTTGCCACCGCTGCTACTGCTGCTGCTGCCCGACTCCGCTGCGGCTTGGCAGTAGCGCTTCACTGCACCTCGGGCGCGCTCGTGTGCGATAGTGTTGGCGTACAGGTCCAGCCGCCAGCCGCTTCCCTGTTTTCCGAGGTTTTACACGGTTTTACACGTTTTTAGAGTATCGTTACAAGGTTGGTTTTAAGCCTCCACGTGTTTGATGACCGTCGTACGCCATAGATAAGAAATTGTGACAAGATGCGTACGGGGACAAGATGCGTACGGGGATTGATGCGTACGGGGACAGAGCGCGCCTCGCACACTGCCACACGCAACCCGTGACACAACCAACTTTTCAACCGACTTAACTACGCCAACCAACAAAAGCGCACCTGCACGCCATGCGCCAGGTCAGCTGGCAGCGCCACGCGTATCCAGCGGCCACTGAAATCCAGTACGACACCCTCCATGGAGGCCTCACTGGGCCTTGTGTACGAGTGTACGGATGGATCAAGGTACGGAAAGGCGGTTTGCAAGGCCCGGGACGAGAAGGGAGGGTGGAAAGGAGATCCAATCGGTAGGTTGATTTAGAGGAGGGGGAGGACGATGACGGGAGGCGCGGAAGGGGAACGCTTAGAAAACTGGTTGGGATACGAAGAGAGCAGTAGTAACAAACAATAAAAACATACATACAGACAGACAAGGAAGGGGACAACTGCGATGCAAAGAAGAGTCCCGTCGTCATGGCCGGATAGCAGCAACAGTAACAGTAACAATCAATCATGGCCTACCACCACAGTGAAGTTGAGACACGGAGACACGGAGAAAGAAAATCCAAATTGCCGTACAACCTCCATCCGTACAACCCCCATCTCGATCCCCACCTTTACGTTTACACGCGAAACACGCCCTCCACGCACACCAACATCATCCTCACCGACCCACGGTCCAGGCCTCCAATACCGCCCTCCTCCCCCCCCTTTCCCCCTCCTCCCCCTTCCCCCCCTCCCCCTTTCACACAAACACATACACATACAGAAGGCATGCGCACCTGTTCTTGGGTGACACCAGTACGATGTCCCCAGCCCCTAGGCAGTGGTACGGCAGGGGCCGACCCGGGAGGTAGAACCTCAAAATGGCGTCTCTGAAGAGGT